CTCTCTTGCGTTCGAACGCCACGGAAGGTCACGCGATGCCGCACAGGTGCTGACAGCTGTCAGCTGTCTCCCACCCGGCAGTCCTCCGCTAGCCCCCATCTGAGCAGCCGTCGCAGCTGCTGCATATTGAGCTGCTGGGGGCTGGGTGAGAAATCGAATGAGGCATCGACTGTTTCCGAGCGAGTGCGGGCGAACCCGCAACAGTGCGACGTGCGCACCGTCGCACCCAGCCTCCCTACACTTTCACGGTTTCTTTCGGCGTTTCCCCGAGCTGGTGGGCTGGTGGCACTGCTGTATCGCGGATGGGTGGGCCACGTTGGCAGCCGTGCGCCTAAATTTCTTTGGACGTGAGGGGTGAGGGGCATTCCGACGAGGACGCGGCCCCGTTATGTCAATAAATTGTGAACGAAGCGGGGTGCCGGGGCCGAGCCGCGGACAAACTGGGAGGGCGCGAGAACTCTTTGCACCTCGCTGAGAGCATGAGACAGGGGGAGAGGGAAGAGGGGGCGAGATATAAAGGAAGCGAGAAGGAGAGAAAAAGAGAGAAACCGACTCGCGAGAGAAGATGGGCTCTGGGGGATCGCAGCTCATCGGCCTTGTATAATCGGTAACCTCCAACCTCAGACCACCACTGCCGCCCTGCCCCTGACCCCGCTCTTCACTCGGGCGCTGCACAGTTTCTCTTCTCGCTCTCTCTCCCCCTTTTCCCCCTCCCAGCTCCTTGATCCCGCCATCGCCCGTCTCCCACCCCTAGTCCCCGCCCCCGCCCCAACATTCACGGATCCATAGGGACACTCCAATAATTCACTAGAGGCGCACTCGTTGGGGGTTTGGACGCCGGGTCAGGGCTAGGGCCCTCGGGCACGGGCACGCCCCAGCCTCCCCTTCCCCGGTACCGCCCCGCCTCGGCCAAGGGAAAATAAAGGCACCTAGCCTAGCAGGCGGCCGGCTGAGCTACTGCTGTATCCTTATATAAACAATTGTGCCACCGAAGTGTACAAAAAAAGTCGGTAAATTTTGCGAGATAATTTTCTATGAAAATGCCGCTAGAAAGTTACGTATATTATTAGTAATGTTTCGAGGCTTTCTTAAGACAATATGTATAGCTTAGTTTTCTTCAATGAACAATAATTATTTAAAATAGTACAAATTTACAAAAGACATCTTGCAATTACAGTGTCACGACTCATCAGGGCATTGTGCTCCTCTTGCAGCACACACCAACACCACAGCGACGCTGACGGGACGGGTAATTACATCACACAGGGAGAGAGAGGGAGAGAAGGGGGGGAAGGACAGAGGAGTAGGAAGGGGGGGGGGTGGAAAGTGAAGGGGAGATGTAAGGTTGGTGGTGGTAATCGCCGAGAAGAGGACACACAAATGAACTGATGGTTCCCCAGGAGCTGCCAAAATGGGCGGAAATCTTTCCTGCTCGCCTCTACCGAACCCGTTATTTTCTCC